GACAAAATATGAAGAATGCTTACGTAAGGATAAAGAAGGAAAAAGGCGGGTTACAATCTTGCGGCCTGTCATTAATCATCGCCCTAATGATGGAGGTTACAAGGACGTCTGAAACGTTGGTAAACTTCTACCAGACTACACAGCACAACCCAGAAGATGGCCATCTTCATACTTACCACCATCAGAACTTGAAATCTCACAGACTTCACACTTTTTTATAAAAATGACTTCCATAGCCAATTTTCTGAACAGTGCACCCTGAGCTAGTCTACTCAATACCATCTAGCAAATACAGTGGGCCTTCAACATCTGTCATCTTCCTAATCTGTTGTTTCTCCATCAACTGTCTACCATTATCTGCGTTTGCTGTCATCTCATCAAATGTCTCATGCATCATGTATCGAACTTCTTATCACGCTGATATGTCAGCCTGGCGGTAACTTTTTTAGCAGAAGGTTCTCAAACCGGTTCACCGCTGATGCCGTTATCTTACAGATTTTGTTTTACCAACGTACTCAGACCCACGTTAAGTGGAAATGGGGAGGCCTAGAGTAGTCCAAACTTTTGGAATAAAATTTAAAATTACTGATTCTGAAGCTGGCAAATAAGTAACTGGTATCGGATGAGAATCCACCGACAACACAGCAAAAAACTATAGCTTATAAAAATATGATGCAGCAAAATTAAATATTTGAGGGATACTGGGAACGACCCGTTCTTCAAGTGCCTGAGCGGGTCCCAACTTTTCGTTGGCTCGATCTATAGACATTCGGTAGGACTCCGTGGACGAGGGATCGGCCAGTCGCAGGACCTCTACCTGTACACAGGAGAGAAAGACGCGGACAAACATCCATGGCTTGAGTGGGATTCGAACCCACGGTCCCAGCGACCAAGAGGCACAAGGCCCACGCCTCAGACCGCGCTGCCACTGCGGATCCCAAATATTTGAGGACCATACTGAAAGTTTAGCTGAAAATGGAGAAATTATTTATTTGGACTTCTGATAAGGAAGTTAAGACAGATCATATGAATTCCACTTTGACAGTATAAATTGCTAAGAGGATTTTCAAACATCTTAAGATCAGATTTTACTGGTGTTTACACGAAAAATTAGTTTAATGCCCAAATACATCACATTCTTGGAAAGAATTATTATCACATATAGTCCTTCATTTTCACCGTTACCCTACCTGTGACAGATTTAAGTGACTAATTAACGATGGATAATGATATTGAGGGCCCACTGATCATTTGAATTCACGATGCATACAGAAATGGCTAAAACGTCAAGGACTTAAGAAGACGGACTCCACCAACGCACTCTTTGCAAAGGCTGGGATAACACAAGCAAAAAAAATTCCTAAAAACTCTTTTTTTATTTCCTCTGTAATTAGGGATGAAATGTAAGCAGCACACTTCACAAACCCGACAAAGTTGCGTGTTTTACACACTGCGAATCATGAACTATTACTATTAGAGCTAACACAATGTACAGTAAGGTTAATCATTAGGATAAACCTCACGGCACATCAAAGAGGTCTCGGTAACAACTACATTTGTCGACTTATCCTGTATATAAAATTCTCAGCTTTCATTCCGGCTGCCATAATTGCCCAAACAATCTTCTTCAGTTCTCATGAAAAGTGACGGTGTACAGAACTCGTACACCAACAAATTCTAAGAAACTGTTTCAGCCATACATCTCTGACAGCTTCACTTTTCACGACTGCCGCGACGCTCACACGCCAATTCACTATTAATTCCTCACCAACAGTTTCTGTCTATTCACATAATATCATAATCAAACGTCAGCAGGCAGAAGCTGGAATATATTCTCGATGTCGCTGAACAAGAGTTTTCGTGCATTACATTTTAGCCGTAGGCCCATACATTCATGTCCAATTTACTATGAATTATTTAGTATGACACAGAACATATTTTACAAGTAGTGGTACAAATTAAATTTAAAATTACGACGCAAGGAAACTCATACCTACGTAAACAGAAGCCTCGAATCATATCAAGACACGCGATTATATACAAATTACTTTAATAATGATTCAATAATATTAATAATGAATTCTTGGTACAGTGTATACATGTATACATCCCAATTATCATATTATAAAAGTCAATAACATTTCTTAATCAATGTAATTACAGAACGTAACACAATCCTATGGCATCCACGCGGGCTATCTACAAACCACGAAGCCACGCCAATTTCATACGATCCCATATCGAACACATCTTTCGCATTTTCATTCAGTCACACTTTAAATTTACCATTCTTCGGATAAAACGTGCGCCAAACAAAAACAGTGCTGTTAAATTTCACTTGGGTGCAATGCACCGTGGCCGGCGTGCTTCGGGTAACCATAATGTACGTCATAAAGCGAACTAGAAAGAAAGGTATTTTTATATTCCCAAGTATTACACAATAGTTTTCGCATTGCATCCTGTGAAATGCATCAGAATGGCTCCTACTTGTATACAGTCGCAAGGATATATTTTTTTTTTTTGCCTTTGTAACACATTACTCCACCGAAACGTAACGCTGATACATTATTTTAAGGAACTTGGAGCATAATTCTATAAAATACAGGGTAAGTCAAAAGTAGCTGCAAACTTTTTGAGAACTGTAACCGAGTTATCTGCAGCCAAAATTGCGCTGATATCAGCAGAGCGTAACCTCAAGTTTCGTCTGTTTGTTGCGCTTGTGAATTGTGGAAAACAAAATGGAGACTTATATTGGCGCAGAAAGAGCGCGATGTGTGTTGTAGTTCAAACAAATGAATCCTCTCCCGTAATTCTCTAAGATCGTTGGGTGTGTGGGTGGTAAACGTGATCCTTAATGTATCACAGTAGGAAGAAAAATCTGCTGGTGTGAGATCCGGTGAATGAGGTGGCCAAGCGACTGGACCTGCCCTCCCAATCCACAGACCTGTATCAGTAAAGCTGTTATGCCACTCGTACACAGAATGTTTGATCGGAGCATTTCTGCCGAACCGCGTACAAAAATTCTGTTGAATTTCAGTTGCGACCACACTTACGCAATGAGAGGATTCGTTTGTTCGAACCAGAATGCACATCGCGCTCGTTCCGCGCCACCATGTCTCCATTTTGTTTTCCACAATTCACAAGCGCAACAAACAGACGAAACTTGAGGTTACGCTCTACAGACATCTGCTGATATCAGCGCAATTTTGGCTGCAGGTAACAGGGTTACAGTCCTCCAAAAGCGTGCAGCTACTTTTTGACTAAACCTGTATTACTATTATCGAAACTACACTTCAGTGCTTTCATATATAAAATATTAACCATAAACCACACAGCAGATGCTGAACAATGCTTATAATAATATAACTTTATATTCTCAATCATACTGGAGGTGGCATTGTGTAACAGATATCAACTGTTGCTTCAGATGTCTCAACGTTCTACGCCTCGTAGATCAGCGTACAAGGCGCAGTTACAAACTTCTTGAGCACCAACCAAGGAAAACCAAGTCTTTCACACACATACATACCTTTTTTTATTCAGAACTCATACATTTTTAAGCAAAATGGTTACTCCTCACGTTGCTTTAGGATTGAAGCTCAAGAAGACGTAAATCATGATTTGTGTTATGTTTTCCGTGAATGGAACCGCATTTCTTATTTGGTGAACGCAGCAAATACGGCCCATACGGTTTCATTTGTATTTGGTTTCATACTTTCAGCCTCAAAGTCCAGGTCAAGAAGTTCTCGGACACGTTTCATAGCGAGTTCATAATCGTCGTCATTGAGTGGAGCGAACGCATTCTCTAGTACGTCCGAGGCATGTGCCAGGAAGATGAGGGACAGCAAGCGTTTATCCATACGATGAGGATCGTTCACCCACTTCCCCAACACCGCGTCTTGAACCTTCGTGGAAAACATTTTATAAATACTTAGAATTTATGATCCATTAACATAAAGTATAAAAGTGCAACAACATCAATGTGAGATCAAAACAGATAAAAATGCTACAGATCTGGTTATTCTGGCTTATCGTATTTAATTTATATTTGATTGCTATTCCGGACACAGCGTATCTGACAGTATTACTAATATCTGGGAAGGACCAAAAGTCATTTGCACAGTTCGATTACACGTATCTGTGCTGAAAATAGTAGTAGGCATGGAAGAGTATTTATGCACGTGGCACGCACGAACACATGTTCAAATTATCGGCCACCACACGCCTACTACAGGAAGGAGTCGTGTCCAACAAATTCAGACGGGAAATTGTGGTCATATTTGACCGTAAAGCCATTCCTTTGTAAGATGGCATCATTCAACCCAAACGTTCCACATGGAAGGAGAAATACGGACTGAATTATAAATGTGAAAACTGGAATCACGAAGGTCTAATCTTGTATCATTAATGTTTGGATAATATAACACGAAATATCCTGAAAATGCAGATTATGAAGATTACGGAACAGAAAATTTCTTGAAAATGCAAATTACCAAGAACTGGTTTAAGAATTCGGTAAATAGGTTAGGTTAGGTTAGGTTAATGTGTGTGGATAAATGACATATACTTTAAAGTTATTATATTTTATTTCAATAAATGACAACTAACCTAACCTATTTTTAAAGTGATGTGTCCCGATAACCCACAAGTACCAAGAATTCCCTATATTATGCAATAAATATCATAAAAAAATTATATGAAGGAAAAAAGTACACGCCCTTACCTCATTCATAGGAGGCGACTGCACAAATATCGATTAAAATTACTGTAAGGGAAATCAATACTCGCATAAACTGCACCTCAGTCATATGAGCCGTGTGTTAAAACAGAAATGACAAATGTAACTCTGAACTTCACAGATTATCACACTTGCATTCTTCTAATTAACAATAAACAATTAAAAACTTGTACAAAATTTTTAATCCTCTTCACGATATCTAACGCCATGAAAAATACCACTTTTGAAAATCAGAGTTGCAATTGCAAATCTCATAAACAAAAGAACAGCTGAGGAACCCAGAGGCAGATTAAAAATCAATAAAAATTAGAATACCTAATTTTTGAGGTTCCCAAAGTGTGGGGTACGAGTGATTTTCTGTGGGGGCGTGTTGTTTTTATGAAAACCTTTTTTAACGAATATGGAGAAACATTTTTTTTAACATCCTTTGCTTGCATACTCACAACTAAATTTTATGTCAAATCTGTTTGCTTGCACTTGTTCTAGAAGGGGGGGGGGCATGAAATTTATGAAATGTTTTAAGGGGGGCGCAAGGTATAAAAGTTTGGGAAACTCCGCCCCAATCCAATCAAACTGTAGTGAAATGCAACCATCTATAAATATTTTAATATGTTTTCCGCAGCTTTTCGATCACTCTGTACGACAGTGTGACCGCTAACGAACACTTGAAGTTCAAAAACCATTTATTCCGATGAAGATTCAGACTGAAGAGGTCTTACATCCTTCGAAGAATGAGCAGGTAAACGTGTTTTGTGCTGATAGTAGTCACATTGGTTGCAACCTTGTCCTTCGTCGCCCTGCTTCCTTCCAGGGACAAACTAACCGGTCTCGGACTATACTGGTCAGCTCGTGTGATATTTGTAACTAATTTTCTGTTTAACAGCGACAGGTTCGTCAGCTTAATGAATTCTAAACTAACCAACCAAAAGGCCAACTAAGGGCAAAGCTTGCGTAAGTGCAAGGCGTAGTTTCATGCTAGGTTTCCATGGAAATGATACGCAGAAATTTATGAATTATAAATTGAGATGTGCTTGTCGTAGCAAAGCGGTATGACGTGTTTGAACTAGGGGCTACTGCTACTGGTGAGAGGGTGATTAATATATCCTGCCTTGAACGCCTCGATTTACAGGTCTAAATAGGCTGACGATCTTTCTCTTTTCAGTACGGACAACCCACAAATATTATTAGAACTTGAGTATCTTATCACCTGCCATTTTTTGTATTCGAGTATTGGTTACCTTTTTCACCAGGCGTGATTTCGCAACGTTATCAGTGAGAGGGTGTGTCGTCATGTCAAATAAGAGGAAGTTCTGTTTTTCTGTTGTAAGCACGCCCTTTTCTACCAGGTTCTTAGCTAATCTTTCACGTACATTCTTCAGCTGGTATCTCAACTTCAACGGGTTCCACGTTTCACCTGAAACAACATTTAACTAATTTCAGAAAAGGAAGAGGCTCAGATTAAATTTAAAGATTATCATCATATTACAAACTTATCGGACATTCTTTGAAATGACGGGAGTTTTCGGCACAATCTCTTACAGTTAAACTTAAAGAACTCTATTTCACTTCAGAAAAAAAAAAACTCTGTACAGTCATTTTTCAAAAAATGTACGTTTTCATACTGTAAAATGGCAACTGATTTATGAGAAAAAGTTGTTTCCATAACGCTGGTGCTTGTTGGATAAAATCCAATCGGAATAAAGCAAATAAAGAAATTGAGATAAGTAAACCACACATGCAGGCATGAAAAGGGCTCCAATTGTTCTGATCTGGCTACGACTACGCTAACAGCGAATTCTTTCGACTACCGGCTACACTGTCAAAAAGATGGTTTTTGCCCTTTTCTAAAATATATGCTTTATAGGATTTCCTTATGGTGCAGCCATGGTTAAAGTTGGCTTGGCATCAATTGAGGTTGTGGACTTGTAATGCAACAACAAATTTTGTTGTGTGCCAGTAAACATTTAAAAAAAACTATCACAAGGTGTGCATTTAAATTTGTTTTATGTGTAATACATATAACTGACAACATTGATATAAAAAATTTATTTAATACAGTTTTATACAAGTACTATTGACATGGCGCATTAACCCATTTAAATAATTATTTCTTAATGATATTAATAAAAAAAAAAACATGTACCAAAATACCACTCAGTCACAAAGTGTAAACAATATTATTATTTTCACAAATTGTTTCACATGCATCAGAATGCAAACAAAAATATGTTCGTAAACAAATTACACAGAGAACAAATTTAAATACGTAATTCGTGATAGTTTTTTAAACGTTTACCACACAGAAAAAAAATCAGGAAGATAGAGCACGGAACCCCACAATTCAAAGCTACAACTTTATCCACTTGGCCTTACGAAATGGTTGACCAGCCAATACCGCGGTTATAACAAAGGAAAAAAATTTTGGTACTTGTTGGTTATCGGGACACGAAACAGGAGAGTCAAATATCTCCACTTGTATCGGACAGAAAACTGTGTATCAGTATACTGTAATGAAACAAATTGTGGCGGCGTACAAATAATAACGGCGATATTTTTAAAACGATTTTAAAATCTATAAGCGAATTTTGGCCTCCGGCGACAGGTTGTAACAACGATAAACATCTCGTGCATATCCAAATAAAATATAATAATTTGTCATTTATTGAAATAAAATATAATAATTTGTCATTTATTGAAATAAAATATAATAATTTGTCATTTATTGAAATAAAATATAATAACTTTCAAGTATATGTCATTTATCCACACACATTAACCTAACCTAACCTAACCTATTTTTAAAGCGATGTGTCCCGATAACCCACAAGTACCAACATTTTTAAGCATATATTTCAGAAAGGCCTAATGGATGAATGATTAAGACAGATGTCACCACATTTTCTATCTACCCATCATCACTCCCATTTTCACTGATATTCTCAACAGATATCTGATGACTTCTCCTCGTCAGTTATGATATATTCACTAGTAATCTTCCTCTGCAACAAAATGACAGCTGCCTACTACGGATACCGAGAAACAAAATAAGTTCGGAAAGTGCATCCCACACTGGGATACACCTAATATCCTCACACGTTCTTTGCAACGTGTATTTAGAGGCATTAAATCCGCTCTGTTCAATAGTTTCCACTTTGGCCACCAGACTGGACCACCTCACGACTCTCCTCATCCACCATTTTATCATCACCAATTGAAGGATATTCAAAAGTATGATTCCGAGTTTGTACAAAATGGCACAACCTCCACATCAAATATCATCCAAATTCATACGGTGGTTCTCAATTACAATTGACTGGAGACGACCAGCCCGTAGTGCATTCTCGCTATGCACTTCATGCAAAAAGTGAATTATAAAATTTAAAATGCCTACTGGAAATACTGAGATAGACTGCATTTGTATACCAGCTAATTTGACTACCATCTTGTTTCTGCTCAAGAATGACTCAGAAACATGTGGTAAATGGGTACAACCACATTCTTGAGTGTGTGCGCGCATGTACATATCTGTGCATGTGCTTCAGTAAGAGCTGTCATGATAAGCTAGTCATGTGCATGCACACACACACACACACATGATATGATTATTTGAAACAATTCTTTTCTTATACACTATACTTACACTACGTAACCTGAAACATGTGGAAAATTGCAGAATGTAAAATATGTTACTTGATGAGTACAACTTAAATGGTTCATGTGATAATTATTACTGTTTATAAATTGAACCACTTACTTCCCACTCCAATACAGGATTAAGAATGTTACAACTCAGAAGTATATTGTATAAAATTATATTACTGAACCCAAGAAAAGTGATATGCTTTTACCACTAAGATATTCAATCCAACTTTGTACAGTTTCTGGTGGATCCGTATCCTTCATATGCTTTAGGGCCTCATCAAGCAAAACATCTCCTGTTGGTGTGTCACTCTTAACAAGTAACTTGCGATTTAGTAGACTCTTCCGTCTCATGCCAGCTTTTTCCAATTCTATGCGGCCACGAATTCCCAACTCAATGAGGATACATCCTCGTAGCCCACTAGATATGCAGTCATTCCAAAATGATGTATAGCCCTTACAAGAAAAAAATTACATACTTAATAAATTGAATAAGTTATGCCCATTCATTTTGATGTTATGAATATGGATGTAAAATATTATTTCTTTGCTACAAAAAATACTGTGCAACTGTCACATTACTTTAAAAGGTATGGAGAGTAACCCACCTCTTTGTCTTTCAATCCTAACAGTAGAACTTCTTCCATAAGTGTCAGCCTAGTTTCTTTGGAATCCCCATCTTCCAATTCTTCATCTCTCTCTGTAGATTTCTTATCATCAGAATTAAGAGTATCTTTAGCCACTCCTTCTCCATTTTCTCTTGACACATTTCGTCTTTGCACTAGTCCATCACTACGATTCATGATTATAATAGACCTTACTTGGATTCAAACGTAATAAGTACTGCAAATATGACAGCTATCATACGAAACAAACGTCATTAATATAACACTGACATTTAAAGAAACCAACAACACATTCTCTACACAACGTTCTCAATATGGCGTCTGCTGATGTTACAAACTCTCAATCCCAGACACCCACGAGCGCGGGGTTCGAGACTACCGTTGCTAGGTTACGATATAAACAAGCGACAATTGAAATCTGGTAGTCTGTATGATCAAGACATTTTTAAAAATTTGACCATTAATTTTGTTTCTAAATGCGCTCTAAGTTATCAAAACTCTGAATGAATCAAAATATCCTGTTGAACGTATTTTCGTGCTTTGTAAGTTGTTGGGTGTAATAATAAGATGGACGTAGGTAGGTTTAGGTACAGCCCAAACACACGGACCGGATTCTGGAATGAAGCACTTATCTTGGAAGAGGTAAATTGTTTTATTAGTGGACTTATTACTTCAAGCAAGAGGTGTACATTTACAGATATCTATTGTTATTACTGAACTGTAGGTTAATAACAGCTATGGCAGTAATTCGCAAGGCAATTCTCATTTGTTTCCACAGCCTTTTAAATAATACTAGGTCTTTAGCTTCTATATCGGCTTCACAAAATCACAGTCCTTTCATTTATATGTTTCAGGAAAAGATAAAGTCATTCTTGGAGATGAGAGATAGAGGAGAATTACTTGTACAGAAGGCACGAAAATTATTCTGCAACCTTCTGAAAGAGGTATAGTATGAAAACTGCAAATGCTTTTATTACTGTCCAACGTGTTCTAAAATTAATGAAAATAGTGAAATATATGCTGAAAGTGATTGTACCATCATGGCCCAACGTCTGAAAAACTACGTGTCGGAACAGGGCACTATTTTATAGTTAAGTTATAAATGACATCTGCAACAGTGAGAAGTTAATCTTGTGGCACAAGTAGCTTTAAAGTAGTTGCACATAATGAAATACAGGTGGAACCACGATAGCTATGCCACATCCTATGTGGTTCTGTATTCTGAATATAGGTGGCACTAGCTGTACCAAGTGAATATGTGAAGTTCGGAGATGTTGTCCAGCTTGTGGCGCCAGATATGCCACGGAAGTGTCGCGGAACTGAAGGCGAACTCGGAGTAGCTCTTTCGGGCCTTGTTGGAGAGAAAGAAGTTGATTCCATACAGCATTACGTCGAGGGTTCTGTGATGAGTGGGTCTTCGCATCTCACACCCTGCGTGCGCAACTCATTTGTCATCCGCAGGTAAGCGCTATTA